CGGGAGATGGGGAGAACCGGGAGATGGGGAGAACCGGGAGATGGGGAGAACCGGGAGAGGGGAGAACCGGGAGATGGGGAGAACCGGGAGATGGGGAGAACCGGGAGATGGGGAGAACCGGGAGATGGGGAGAACCGGGAGATGGGGAGAACCGGGAGATGGGGAGAACCGGGAGATGGGGAGAACCGGGAGATGGGGAGAACCGGGAGATGGGGAGAACCGGGAGATGGGAGAACCGGGAGATGGGGAGAACCGGGAGATGGGGAGAACCGGGAGATGGGGAGACCGGGAGATGGGGAGAACCGGGAGATGGGGAGAACCGGGAGATGGGGAGAACCGGGAGATGGGGAGAACCGGGAGATGGGGAGAACCGGGAGATGGGGAGAACCGGGAGATGGGGAGAACCGGGAGATGGGGAGAACCGGGAGATGGGGAGAACCGGGAGATGGGGAGAACCGGGAGATGGGGGAGAACCGGGAGATGGGGAGAACGGGAGATGGGGAGAACCGGGAGATGGGGAGAACCGGGAGATGGGGAGAACCGGGAGATGGGGAGAACCGGGAGATGGGGAGAACCGGGAGATGGGGAGAACCGGGAGATGGAGAGAACCGGGAGATGGGGAGAACCGGGAGATGGGGAGAACCGGGAGATGGGGAGAAACGGGAGATGGGGAGAACCGGGAGATGGGGAGAAACCGGGAGATGGGGAGAACCGGGAGATGGGGAGAACCGGGAGATGGGAGAACCGGGAGATGGGGAGAGAACGGGAGATGGGGAGAACCGGAGATGGGGAGACCGGGCAGACTGGGGAGAGAACCGGGAAGAGGGGAGAACCGGGAGATGGGAGCAGAACCGGGAGATGGGGAGAGAACCGGGAGATGGGGAGATAACCGGGAGATGGGGAGACCCGGTGAGATGGGGAGAACCGGGAGATGGGGAGAACCGGGAGATGGGGAGAAACCGGGAGATGGGGTAGAACCGGAGAGGGAGACCCGGGAGATGGGCGAGAACCGGGAGATTGGGAGAGAGAACCGGGAGATGGGCGAGAACCGGGAGATGGGGTAGAACCGGGGAGATGGGAGGAGAACGGGGAGATGGGGAGAACCGGGAGATGGGGAGAACCGGGAGATGCGGGAGAGAACCGGGGAGATGGGGAGAACCGGGAGATGGGGAGAACCGGGAGATGGGGAGAACCGGGAGATGGGGAGAACCGGGAGATGGAGAGAACCGGGAGATGGGGAGAACCGGAGATGGGGAGAACCGGGAGATGGGGAGAACCGGGAGATGGGAGAACCGGGAGATGGGGAGAACCGGAGATGGGTGGAGAACCGGGAGATGGGGAGAACCGGAGATGGGGAGAACCGGGAGTATGGGGAGAACCGGGAGATGGGAGAACCGGGAGATGGGGAGAACCGGGAGATGGGAGAAACCGGGAGATGGGGAGAACCGGGAGATGGGGAGAACGGGAGATGGGGAGAACCGGGAGATGGGGAGAACCGGGAGATGGGGAAGAACCGGGAGATGGGGAGAACCGGGAGATGGGGAGAACCGGGAGATGGGGAGAACCGGGAGATGGGGAGAACCGGGAGATGGGGAGAACCGGGAGATGGGGAGAACCGGGAGATGGGGAGAACCGGGAGATGGGGAGAACCGGGAGATGGGGAGAACCGGGAGATGGGGAGAACCGGGAGATGGGGAGAACCGGGAGATGGGGAGAACCGGGAGATGGGGAGAACCGGGAGATGGGGAGAACCGGGAGATGGGGAGAACCGGGAGATGGGGAGAACCGGGAGATGGGGAGAACCGGGAGATGGGGAGAACCGGGAGATGGGGAGAACCGGGAGATGGGGAGAACCGGGAGATGGGGAGAACCGGGAGATGGGGAGAACCGGGAGATGGGGAGAACCGGGAGATGGGGAGAACCGGGAGATGGGAGAACCGGGAGATGGGGAGAACCGGGAGATGGGGAGAACCGGGAGATGGGGAGAACCGGGAGATGGGGAGAACCGGGAGATGGGGAGAACCGGGATGGGAGAAACCGGGAGATGGGGAGAACCGGAGATGGAGAACCGGAGATGGGAGAACGAGGTTATGTGGAGAACCGGAGATGGGAGAACCGGGAGGATGGGGAGAAACCGGGAGATGGAGAGAACCGGATAGATGGGGAGAACCGGGAGATGGGGAGGAAGCCGGAGATGGGTAGAACCGGAGATGGGGAGAACCGGGAGATGGGGAGAAACCGGAGATGGGGAAACCGGAGATGGGGAGAACGGGAGATGGGGAGAACTCGGGAGATGGGGAGAACCGGGGGGGGGTCTGAATGGAGAACCGGGAGATGGGGAGAACGGGAGATGGGGAGAACGGGAGATGGGGAGACGGCGGGAGAATTGGAGAACCGGGAGATGGAAGAACCGGGAGATGGGAGAACCGGGAGGTATGGGGAGAACCGGTGAGATGGGGAGAACCGGGAGATGGGAGAGAACCGGGAGTAGATGGGGAGAACGGGAGATGGGGAGAACCGGGAGATGGGGAGAACCGGGAGATGGGGAGACTCGGAGATGGAGAACCGGGGGATGGGGAGAACGGGAGATGAGGGAGAACCGGGAGATGGGGAGAACCGGGAGATGGGGAGAACCCGGGAGTAATGGGGAGAACCGGAGATGGGGAGAACCGGTGAGATGAGGGAGAACCGGGAGATGGGGAACCGGGAGATGGGGAGAACCGGAGATGGGAGAACGGAGATGGGGAGAACCGGGAGATGGGGAGAACCGGGAGATGGGGAGAACGGGAGATGGGAGAACCGGGATGATGGGAGAACCGGGAGATGGGGAGAACCGGGAGATGGGAGAGAACCGGGAGATGGGGAGAACCGGGAGATGGGGAGAACGGGAGATGGGGAGAACCGGGAGATGGGGAGAACCGGGAGATGGGGAGAACCGGGAGATGGGGAGAACCGGGAGAAGGGGAGAACCGGGAGATGGGGAGAACCGGGAGATGGGGAGAACCGGGGAGATGGGAGAACGGAGATGGAGAGAACCGGGAGATGGGGAGAACCGGGAGATGGGGAGAACCGGGAGATGGGGAGAACGGGAGATGGGGAGAACCGGGAGATGGGGAGAACCGGGAGAGTGGGGAGATACGGGAGAGGGGAACCGGGAGATGGGGAGAACCGGGAGATGGGGAGAAACCGGGGAGATGGGAGAACGGGAGATGGGGAGAACCGGGAGATGGGGAGAGAACCGGGAGATGGGGAGAACCGGGAGATGGGGAGAACCGGGAGATGGGGAGAACCGGGAGATGGGGAGAACCGGGAGATGGGGAGAACCGGGAGATGGAGTGCTTCCGCTTTCCGAATCCGAACAGCATGCTGGAAAAATGGCTTTGAGACTTCTCACAAAGCTGAGCTACGCTAAAGGAAGGTCAGCCACTCACGCAAATCTTGATGAACTGGATCCAGTTGCCGATCTTGGTCTCCAGCTCCTCCCACTGCATGCGCAGCACGTCGTCCCGCGTCACCATCTCCACGCCCAGGCGCTTCAACGACTGCTCCAACGAGTTGCCTCGCACCTCCCTGTGGGGGGAGGAGGGGTTTCGGGAAGGGCAGGAGGAGAGGAAGGGTGCAAAAGCTGGGATGGGAGAGGCAGCACATCGTCCCGCGTCACCATCTCCACGCCCAGCCGCTTCAACGACTGCTCCAACGAGTTGCCTGGCACCTCCCTGGGAAGGATGGGGGAGAAGGGGGGGAAGGGCAGGAAGGGGAGAAGGAGATAGGAATGGAGGGGAGGGATGAGAAAGGCAGCACGTCGTCCCGCGACACCATCTCCACCCCCAGCCGCTTCAACGACTGCTCCAACGAGTTGCCTCGCACCTCCCTGGGGGAGAGAGGGGAAAGGGAAGGAAGAATGGAAGAAGGCGCAAGGGTGGAATGGGATGAGGAGGGGGAAGTAGAGAAAAGAGGGAGTCACCATCTCTACGCCCTGCCGCTTCAGCGACTGCTGCAACACGTTACATGAAATAAGATTGGTTTTGACAAGTATCAATACCAGTGGCTTCAGCGACTGCTCCAACGAGTTGTGTTGCAGCGCACCTCCCTGGGCTGGGAGCAAGAGGAAGGAGAGGGGAAGGGACGAGTTGAGGAATGGTGATGCCTATCCTCAGTCGCAACAACTTTTAAAATTCAGACACCTCTCGTCAACCCATTCACACCGCACTCAACCACCCTCGCCTCTCGCCCATCCACACCGCGCGCCCATCCACGCCCCTTCATCTTCACACACATCTCCCATCCGCACCGCACTCAACCACCCTCGCCTCTCGCCCATCCACACCGCACGCCCATCCACGCCCCTTCATCTTCACACACATCTCCCATCCGCACCGCACTCAACCACCCTCGCCTCTCGCCCATCCACACCGCACGCCCATCCACGCCCCTTCATCTTCACACACATCTCCCATCCGCACCGCACTCAACCACCCTCGCCTCGCGCCCATCCACACCGCACGCCCATCCACGCCCCTTCATCTTCACACACATCTCCCATCCGCACCGCACTCAACTCAACCACCCACGCATCCTTCGCTCATCCATACCTGCACTGCACACGCGAGTGCACACAAAAGCAGCCCCGTTTTGGATCATACGCCTCGCCACCGCATTCAACCGCTCTATGAGCGTGTGGGGCAGCAGCAGCACAGGCGGCCCCTTGCCCCCTTGCTGGGCCCGATGCCCCCCTTGCTGCTACCGATGCTCACCCATCTGAACCGCACTCAACCACCCACCTGTACACGCGAGTGCACACGGAAGCCGCCCCGTTCTGAATCATCCTCCTTGCCACCGCATTCAACCGCTCTATGAGCGTGGGCAGCAGCAGCACGGGCGGCCCCTTGCCGCCCTTGCTGGGTCCGATGCCCGGAATCAGATTCTCCGGCGTCTGTGCCGGCGGGGGCAGCCCCGCCAGATCGATCCCCAGCTCTGGCATCGCCTCGATGATCTTCAACACGTCCATGGGCTTGCTGTTGGGGGGTGTGGGGGATAAGACGAGGAATTAGCATGGAGGGAAGGGGGGCAGCAGGTGAGGGGGGCAGCAGGTGAGGGGGGCAGCAGGTGAGGGGCGCAGCAGGTGAGGGGGGCAGCAGGTGAGGGGGGCAGCAGGTGAGGGGGCAAGCAGGTGAGGGGCGCAAGGGGGCAGCCCCGCCAGGTCAAACATCAATGCCTCTACGCAGGAGCTCTGGCATCGCCTCGATGATCTCCAACACGTCCATGAGTTTGCTGCAGCAGATGCGGGGGGGGGGGGGGGGGGAGAGGGGATGGGAAAGGGATCAGGAGGGGCAGCCTCGTCAGGTCGATCCCCAGCTCTGGCATGGCCTTGATGATCTTTAACACGCCCATGGGCTTGCTGTCGGGGGGTGTGAGGGTGGGTAGGTGGTAAGAAGAGGAAAGGATAGGATGACGTGGAAGGAGAGGGGAAAGAGAGGGGATGCAAGGGCGGTGAGTGTGGGTTCGAATGAGCCTCTCATCCCCACCCACGCACCTGTTGTATCACCGCCGCGCTACAACTCACACTTGCACCTCACATCCGCCCTACACTCACAGTACCCACCTGTTGTTGGCAAACCGCACCCCCCAGCTACCGCCGCACCACCCACCCACCTGTTGTTGGCGAGCAGCTGCCTGAAGTCCACGCGATGGACTTCAAACACACCCATGGCCTCCTTCATCAGCCCATGCGCCTGCAGAGAGGGGCTGGTAAACCTCTAGGTCACACCACACTGCCCCACACCCACACTCACACCAACCACCTGTTATTCGCGAGCAGCTAGCAGAACTCAGCCTCCAGTCCAGCATGCCCATGGCCCCCCACTCGCCTCCAAGGGAGGGGTCAATGCTCCATCGACCTACCGTTTCATCTCTTGTCACACCAGTGTTGCCCCACACCAGTGTTGCCCCACACCAGTGTTGCCCCACACCAGTGTTGCCCCACACCCACCTGTTATTGGCCGGCAGCTGCCTGAAGTCCGCCTCCAGCAACCCCCTTCAGCCTGCACACACCACACTGCCACACACCACACTGCCAGACACCACACACTGCCCCTAACATGCGTGGACCCACCTGTTATTCGCGAGCAGCTGCCGGAAATCAGCTTCAAGCATGCCCATGGCCTCCTTCATCAGCCCACGCGCCTGCAGAGCAGCGCCCTCCGACGACTTGTAATTGCGGTGCGAGTCAAAGAACAGCAGCGCCTCCTGTAGCATGTCCACCGCTGCTAGATACGCCTCTAAGTCTCTACGCGGACCGTCCTTGATTCGTTGTTCCACCTGTCGTGGTCATTCATTCATTGGGAGGCGGGAAAGAGAAGCGAGGACGGAAGTGGAGGACTTGTGACTGCGGTGGGTGGAAGTGGACGAAGGAAGAACAGCAGCGCCTGCAGGGCAGAGCAGCGCCCTCCGACGACTTGTGGTTGCGGTGCGAGTCAAAGAACAGCAGCGCCTCCTGTGGCATGCCCACCGCTGCTAGGTATGCCTCTAGGTCACGACGAGGCCTGTCTTTGATCCGTTGTTCCACCTGTCAGTGCGAGGGGGAGGTGAAGCATATGGGTGGGTGGGGAGGATGCAGAGGAGTTATAGTTGCGGTGTGAGTGGAAGAACAACAGCGCCTCCTCCTGTAGCACGTCCACCTCTGCTAGATATGCCTGTAGGTCGCGCCGACGGCCGCCTTTATCCTCTGCTCCACCTGTCATATGGGAGGGAAGGAAGGAAGAGGAGAACTTCCCATCCCATCAGCATACCTGCTGTTCTCTTAATGCTGCCATGCGAGTAAGGGAACAGCAGCGCCTCCTGTAGCATGTCCACTGCTGCTAGACTGATTTTGAAACAGTCTGCTGCTGGGTGGTTCGCAGAAACCCCTGCTGCGTGCAGGAAGGTGTGCTTGCAGGGCACGACGTGCAGTGGGCCGTTCTTGCTGCATAGCCGCTGCTCCTTTACTGTCCTGGCAGCCAACCGCCCCCCCTGCCACCGTCTCACACCCCCCCCTCCCTCCGCTGCTGGTCCCATCATGCCCAGCGTCCCACCCACCTGCCACCGGCCCACCAGCCCAGCAACCCAGCTCACCTGCCCACCTGCCCACCCGCCCACCAGCGTGCATACGATCCCAGCGTAGCACGCCCATCGCCCCCCCCACCTGCTGCGGGATGTCGAGCTTGTCCTGCACCGTCTCCACGGCCCTACCACCCTCGCTGCTGTCTGTACCTACCACCGTATCATGCTTACTGCCCCCCCTGCCACTGCCCTCCCCACCTGCCACTCCCCCCCCCCTCCCTCCCCCACCTGCTGCGGGATATCAAACTTATCCAGCACTGTCTCCACAGCGCGGATGGTGCCCGTGCTGCTGTCAGTACCCACCGTATCATGCTTGCTGCCCCACCTGCTGCTCACTCTGCCCCCCCTCTCCCCCCTTCCCCCCCACCTGCTGCGGGATGTCGAACTTATCCAGCACCGTCTCCACGGCGCGGATGGTGGCGTCGATGTTGGCGTGCGCCTTGCGGAAGGCCAGCGTGCGCGCCTGGGGGAGGGGAGGGCGGGGGCAAAGGAAGCAGCGGGGGCAAAGGAAGGGGCGCGGGAAAAGGAAGGGGCGGGGGAAAGGAAGCGGCGGGAAAGGGTGATGGGTGAGATGGGTGCAAACGAGCGGCAAAGAGGATGGTGGCGTCGATGTTGGCATGCGCCTTGCGGAACGCCAGCGTGCGCGCCTGGAAGGGGAGAGATGGTGATGGGGAGGGGGATGGGAAAGGGGATGGGAAGGTGGATGGGAATGGGGAGAGAGGGGGGGAGATGGGGAAGATAGGGGGAATGGCTGAGATGGGGGGATGGTGGCGTCGATGTTCGCATGCGCCTTGCGGAACGCCAGCGTGCGCTCCTGGGAAAAAAAAGGGGGGGAGGGGGGGGGAAGGTGGTGGGGGGGCGGGAGGGGGGGTTGGGGTGGGGGGGAGGGAGGAAGTGGGGGGGAGAGGAAGGGGGATGAAGGGATGGCGGTGGGGAGGAGAATGGTTGAGATGAGTGATGGTGGAAGGGTCTGTCGGGCAATTCAACAACGCCCTTGCAGCCAGCCACTGCCGAATGCTATCCGTACCTGAATAGGTGATGGGGAAGCCACTGACGCATTACCTCCTTGTGTAACACAGTTGCTTACTCACACCCGCATGCGACTCCGTCGCGACACGCGCGCACCTGGATGGGGCGCATGGCAGTTTCGAGGTTGGTGAGGCGCGTGTCGAAGGTGTTGAGAATGGTGATCATCTCCTCGCTCACCGCCTTGCTCTTCCCCAACACCTCGCGCAACTGCCCCGCCTGCGTGTTCAGCCGCCGCACTTCCGCCGCGGAGATTACCACGCGCCTCCGCGCCGGCTTTGTGACCGTTGACGGCGCCGAAGGCGGCTCGTGGTGGTCGTCCCCGCGCCGCGCCTGATGATGCTGGCGCGCGGCGGCGCGGTCCGACGCAGGGGTGCCGCCGCGATTCATGGCTGCCGTGTCGCGGTGGTAGGAACTTTCAGGGCTAGTTAAATACTTAATCCCCGACGCGCGCGTAACGCCTTGTTACTCCTTCCAACTCGTGGTTACTGCGGCCCCCGCGGTACAACACGTTCCGCTTTCGAACAACTCGTTTAATGCTCTGGAAGGGCGCTGCGAGAACATCAGTTCGCGAAGGCGGTTCTTTTCTTGGGTCCACTAACGCACGACGTAGGGTGGATTGATAGTCGAATAGTTACTGCAGCGAACTTAGGGTGATGCCGCGGCGGTAAGACGCGCGAAACCAGGGTCAACGCAGGGTCAACGCTGGTAAAGAAGAAGCAATTATCACGTTCGAATACACTTTATCTAACTAGCGCGTTATGAACTAGCGCGACGCGGAAAGTACCTATGACTAACGACCGTGTCTGTCAGCGCTACAGAAGTCACGTTGACAGGGACGCGTGGGCGGGCCAACTAGCTATTCGCGCCGCTCAGCCTGCTCTGTTTGTCTCGCACCCCCTCGCACGCTGCAGGGTCATTTCCCCTCATCACAACAGTCCAGCAGCAAGAGCTGAGGCATGCCCGAGTATCGTGCGACAATCGTGCGCGATTACGGCTCCATCCGCGGGGTCATTTCCCCTCTTTCTACCTCGCTGATGGCACGGCAGCCGTGCACTGGGAAACCGACTCCAAGCGAAGAATGGACGATTTCTTGTACCAGGTAACCCGAGAGCCCGAAGGTTACACAGCCACATCCAGTACAATAAAAGAGAAAGTATATTCATGTCCTTTTCGAACTTTTAAAATATGTAGAACTCTTGAAATGCAGCAATCACTTATACCGGTATCCGTACATCCTACATAATTTACCATTGTAAGCCTAGTATAAAGCCTGTATCATAGGGTTATACCATGAGCGCATGCAGATCCGAGCCCCAACGTCATAGTCCCACAGCCCTTGCTGCACCTGCCTCCGTATTTTCTTTCGCCTCCCAGCCACCCAGTTGTTATGGATTATCACACAACCCATTTCTTCACACCCTTTCCGAACGCTATTCCCCATATGGAACAGCATCTGCGTCGCACCATTAGGGAACCTCTTTCTATCAAGAAAATCCACAGTCAAGTTGAACTTCGGATTTAAGCACTGGGAATCGCCCACAGTGTACTCAGAAGAAGCTCCACACAGTACATCATAGAAACTGGGCTGCTCTGTTATTGGGGACGCTGCTGCATGCGCCACCACCGCTTCTAGAGCCGCCAAGGCCCTCGGCTCCGAGCGAATGAAATAAAACCCCGAGTTGAGCCGCCGATAGTCGTTATCCGGGCCTGTGTCATTGTGATTATCGCTCTGAACCACCATGTGCCCCGGCCCATACCCCATCACTATCGGCCGTGCGTCCGCGAACCAATAGATATCCGCATCATTAAACAGCACGTGGTAACCAGCCCGTAACACGCGGAGGGCTGCCCGAGACTTCACTTTAGTCACATTGAGGAAGCAATCCGTACCGAAGTGGCAGTCGTCGCGGCCAAACGCGTCGTCGTACGCGTGGGGGAACACCGGGAGGCCCTGCTCGCGGGCAAAGTCGTAAGTTTCCCTGTCCATGGCGGCTATAACGTAGTTGTGCACGTGCAGGCGGCGCAGGCCGCACACCCAGCTCATCATCACCTCCCTGTAGTTTGAAGCCACCACCGCCAGCACCACTGTCCACGCTTCGTCTCCATCCACTGCACTTGCCCTGTCGACCCCTGCTGTCCCCCCTGTCCCTTCCGTCCCTAATCTTCCTTCTGCTTCAGACTTCCACCCACTGCTGCCTCTCCTTCCTGCTGCAGCCTCCTCTCCGTCCAATCCTTCATCCTCTTGCGTGGCTCTCCCCCTTCCCTTCTCCCTGCCTCCCCCCCTCTTCATGCGCGTCCCCCTCCTCACCACCTGTCGCAGCAACCTCAGCATCAACTCATCATGCTCCACCCTCTCAAACGCAAGCACCCCCACCTCTGTCTCGTTTCTACCTCCATCCACCCCTCCAGTCTCGTTCCTACCTCCACCCACCCCTCCTCTCCCATCCCCATCCCTTCCCCCTTCACTCTCACCCTCCTCGCCTTCCCCCACAAACTCCACCTCCTTCCTCTTAGCCTCCCGCCTCCGCCTCAACCCAACCCCCTCTTTCCTCCACGATGCTGCTGCCTGCATCAACTCCTCCCTCTCAACCCGCCCAGTGCACCTCTGCCCCTCCCCTGTGACACCGCTGCTCCCGCCGTCATCCCACCCCCCGTTTCCTCCTTCTGGTGGTGCCCTCCCCTTGTGGGAATTCTCGGAAGTGACTCCTTCAGGCGCCACCATCCCCCGTTGCTGCTGCTTGTCCCGTGGCTGGAAGCAGAAGCCAGCAGCGCCAGGGTAGGCGCACGGGACAAGCGCCCATGGCACATCTGCAAGTGACATGCGCGGCCCACGGCTCACTCTCTGCTGCTGTTGCTGCTGCTTCTCTGCGGCGTTGCTGCTGCCCTTGGCTGTGCTACGCTCATTCAAGGAACGACCGCTGGTGGAAGGAATGGAGGAGAGCGCGAGGGGAAAGGAACCATAGGAAATGGCCAAGTAGGCATTCAGCTCCTCCTCTCCTTCCTCCTCTCCCTCTCCCTCTCCCTCCTTCCTCTCCTCCTCCTCCCAGTCACCCATTTCCTCCATTGCAGCAGCAGCAGCAGCAGCAGCAGCAGCTCGCTCAGGCGGCAGCAGCAGCACGGGCTTCAGCGGAGAGGCATCGAGCACGAGGCGGAGGGGCGAGGAGAGGCACTCGTGGAGCACCCACTGCTGCCACACGCCCCGGACGGAGGGTGCTGTGGCGCGACGGCCAGGTGTGTGGTAACCAGGTAACCCCTGGTGTGTAGAATCGTTCCTCGTGGCTTGAGAGACGGCCTTTGGATATACCGTTTCCTTTAGCCGCCCCTCCGCACGACCGCCCTTGCCGTTCCCTCTTGACCCTTCATGCTCTCCCCTCCTCCTACCCCTCTCTATATGGGGCTGCAGCAGGCGGAAGGGCGGCATGGGGCCAGAGAGGAGGGGGGTGTGGCCTACATTCCAGGCCCATAGGATGGGGGCCGAGCAGGGCGAGTGGGAGAGCAAGGAGGACGACTGCAGATGACTCAGCGCCTCATCCATACTCAGCTGACGTGTCACTCCTGTTACATTGGTTACCACCCATGCATACTCCTCTTCAATGTCATACTCCTTCTCTGCACTGTTCTCTCCCCTCCCCGCTTCCCTACCCACCCTAACCCTCCTCCACTCAACCGAACCAGCTCCTGTACCTCCTGCCGAGCCTCCGACGGAGATTCCTTCCAAGTCTCCTGCTTCAACCCTCCACGCGCCTGCCACCAGCAGCCAGTCTCCCTGCACGTCCCGTGTCTTTTCCAAAGCTACACTCAGGCTTGGCGTAAGCACAGCCTCGGGGTCGGTTAGGACAATCGCCAAGCCTGCACGGGAGGCTCGGGCGCGGGCAAAGAGGCTGTTGACTAAGGGTCGGCCTGAGGCGAAGCTAGGGAGGGCGCAGAGGGGAGGAGGGGGAGGGGATGGGGCGTGGGGAAGGGCATGTGAAAGCGGGTGAGGGAATGAGGAAGAAGGGGAGGAGAAAGGATGAGGGCGGATGGGGGTTAAAGATCAGGGGTTCAATCCAAGACACAGTTTCAAAAGCATGGCAATTCTCCCCATGCCTTCTCTCCCCTACCTCGTATCCACCTCCTCCTCCACCACCACCCGCCCGGGTATCTAGCAGCAACGCGGTACAGGCTGGGATGGGACCCCACCAGCACCACAAACATGCGCCCCTCCCCATGCGCCAATGCCCCCCATACGTTCCCCCCTACCTCGTATCCACCTCCTCCTCCACCACAACCCGCCCGGGGTATCTAGCAGCAACGCGGTGCAGGCTGGGATGGGACCCCACCAGCACCACTCGCACGCCGGGCTGCAGACTCACCCACGACGCCACCGCCGCGCGCTGCCGTCTCCCCCGCCGCCCCGCAAAGGGCCACGGCGCCACTAACAGCTCCGCGAAAACGGCGGGAGTGGTAACCCGTTCGCTAGTGGAGGCTCGGCGAAGTGGGTGATCGTGATGGTCGGCCATACGCGTGCTGGTGAACGGGGGGGTGTCTGATTGGTTGCGACGATTCCAAGGATCGCACGGCGACTGACCGCGTCGCACAGGCGAGTCAACGCGGTCAACCAAGTCGTCTGAGTCAGCTACACTCCAGCCTTCGTCTTCGCACCGCACGTGGCATTGTGCCTTCTCGAGCTGCCACGTGGCGCTCAGCGACAGGAGCGTCAATCCAAGGGCCAGGATCCAGAGCAGCGGCAACCACGGAAGCAGAGGAACGTCGGAGGAGAAGGATTTGAAGCATGCGGTCCGACGAAGAGTGGCTTCGGAAGTGGACGGCTGACGTGAAAGGGCGTCCGGATTCGACGGCTGACGTGGAGGGAAGTAGAGAAATGAGGTGCCATTGGAGGAAGTATTCAAGACGGAGGTTAAGGAGAATGTATTCGCCGATAAACTCTGAACGGAGGAGTCGTTAGCGAGTGGTTCACTCAGAGTGATGCTGAGGGCTGGTGAGTCGTAAGGAGGGGTGATAGATTGAGAGGAAGCGCTCCGCCGGGATAACGATCGGTGAATGTCCCCTTTTGGGTGCATGTTGAGTCGTCTTCAGGCCACTCTAAGAGGCTCATAACTACCTCAGGAGAAACATGGTGAGCGACGGACGTCAGTGATCAGTGAAATGGATTGAACGTATGAGTTGGACGGCAATACCAAGGGTGGGTCCCGAAAAATCACTTCACGTCACGACTCCGAGTTCGAACAGACTGCGATTACTGGGGTTACTTGCAACGGAGCCAAATTGCACGTCTTCTTTTGATCATACGACACGTACTGGAGTTCAATATATGTTTTAGTACATCTGCTTCATGCAGCTGGGAAGCAGCATCAGCATCTACGTAGATACCTTATAGCATTTTTCTACACATTGGCATGAATATATTAAAAAACATGTTTAAAAAATACTAAACAGCAGAAATTCTTCAGATTGGTCTGTGTATGTCAATGGGGATTTGGAATTTTAGAGTAGATATTAGTGATGTTGAGGTTAGGTCGATGTGAAGTGAAGATGTAGAAGGTTTCGCTATGCGATGCATTTCAATGTTGCCTGACCACATGAGGTCCAAGCGAAGATTTCGTGCGAAAGTGCTCGCACGAGGGTGCTCAGCCTGTAACCTGCACAAGCCCCGAGGTTCGAGGCCACAATCACTCACGAACCAAACAGGTGGCGCGCAGGCGTACTTTCCACGGGTGACTTACGCCACGTCATCAGATAAGAGCCCCATCACCCTCCACAACAATTTCTCGCGCACTTTCTGCCGTCAGATCGTAGTGCCACATCGTCCACGACCGTCCGTTCGTACTTGATTGGTGCAGCCCTCCCTGACCCGTATCCACTCAACGGGAACCCCAGAGATCTACGGGTCCAGGCTAGGGTGTTCTCTCGGAGGTGGGGTTTCAGTCACTTTGTCTCCCAGCAGCTTTTGGTAGGCCTCCATCACTCAAGCAACCAAAAAACATCCATCAACCATGGCTGCCTCCCTCGCCACCAAGGCTGCTGCTGTTCCCCAGGTATCCACTCTAGTCTCGGTATAGCATTGTTGCAAAATCTGAGTTCGTGGGAGGTTTCGCCGTAAATGTTGTAGTCCTAACAGATTCCTTATGTCTATTTGCAGCTCGCAGCCGCTAAGGCCTCCGTCTTCGGCGATGCCAAGTCGCTGAAGACTGTCCGGGCGGTCGCCGTCAACAGGAAGGCGTCCGCCACCGTTGCTATGGCCGGTGCTCCCTCTTTTGTGCCTGACATGGGTCGCCGCAACCTCATGAACCTTCTCCTTGCTGGTGCCGTCGCGGTTCCCGGCACTGCCGTCCTCGGTGGCTGGCTCTACGTGCTTGTCCCCCCCGGGTAATGTATTTTCTCGTGCTGCTAATGCTGTTTATTCAGCTGTTCTGTGCGGTTTCTGACTTGCTCCTCTTCACGCGACAGCTCCGGTGGCTCGGGTGGTGGACTCGTGGCGCGTGATGCTTTTGGCCAAGAGATCACTGCTGAGGGCTGGTTGAAGGCCCACGGCCCTGGTGACAGGACCCTTGCCGAGGGTCTCAAGGTGCGGCTTACTAAATGGTAGATCACGGTGGATTCTTCTAATTTAATTCTCACGTCATCTAAAAAAAATTGTTCGCGATGTGTTCCAGGGTGACCCGACATACCTTGTGGTTGAGAACGACGGCCAGCTTGCGCCCTATGGTGTGAACGCCGTGTGCACTCATCTCGGATGCGTCGTGCCCTTCAACACTGCCGAGAACAAGTTCATGTGCCCCTGCCACGGTTCTCAGTATGACAACCAGGGCAAGGTTGTTCGCGGCCCTGCTCCTCTGGTAAGTAGTGCCAGTCCTGCCATAACCTTTTAACGGTCTGTTGTGGAACTAGTCCATGCATTCTTTGTTGGATCATCGTTCTGACTCCCTTATGTGTTTCTTTTTCAGTCGCTTGCTCTTGCACACGTCGACATTGTGGACGGCAAGGTGTTTTTCAGCTCGTGGCCTGAGACCGACTTCAGGACAGGCGAAGCCCCCTGGTGGGCATAAGCTTCATTGATATGTACTGGATTATATATCACGATTGTTATTCAACATTTGTCGATGAATTAATTCGAGTAGTCTAAACCTGCACTTGTATTATGGGAATGCATGGCGTGCATTATGTTTCGTGGTTTGTTTTTGTCGGTATAGTGAGCCGCGTCCTTGCGGTTATACTATACCACCGTTTTGGATTATTCCCAACAAAATAAGCATTTTTGGGTACACATAATACAAAGCTCAATTTTCATAATGGCTTTGCATATTTATACACAACCCTTCTATTGGCGGATCATTCTGGTTGTCGAATTATTAATATTCATCTTGCATTGTGAACTTTATTTATTGCATGATACAATAGTCAAAACATTAGTAAAGTTATATCACCCATACAAATAGTTCTAGGGGCTGTATTCCTACATACAGCTACTCACGCCTCAAAAACGAAGACGATAACGTCTTTCCTAGGGCAAAAATGGCATGTACAACCCTCCAGACGCTCAAAGGATTGAAGCTGACGGCTGCAGGAGCTCCCACGACAACATGATTGCACTCTGCACCCAACCTCCTCCTCTCCAAGCGTCCCAGGAACCTATAGTATACCAGATGCGCTGGGGCATCCGCTGTCAAAAACGCGAGGCGAGAAGAATCCCTCGACCCTGCGGACAGGTGCGACGGCTGCGGAAACCCGACAGGAAACTGGAAAAATGTTCGCCGATGGCGAGTTCGACTGTAGGAAGTTGATATCTTTGATAAGCGGATTACTAGATCGACAAGGTGGAGTGAACGCCAAAGAGCTCAAACTTCCACCGCCATCGCTCTGCACACAATAAAAATAGTACCGTTAGATGACAGATTCGTAAAATAACACGATCACACGTACTAGAATAATCGACGGCAGAAAAATATTTAAACAGACGTACTTTTGATAGGAAAATGTCGAGAAGTTCAGAGCCAATATCGTCATCTCCTCTACTGCACGACCTGAAATTAAGATAACAAACGATTATTAAACGGTTGCAACTACCTCACAGATTCCGTCTGACATATAACCAGTGAAAGTCTGGACAACGGTTGCAATAGCCTGAATACTGAAATGAGAAATTCCATCATGACTTACCGAAGACAGGTACTATGCTTCGCCAGGTCTGACGGGGGAGAGAAAACGCCTCCATATTTAACTGCCTGGGGCCTGACGACATGAGCAGTACAGACCTCTGGTCTGAGAAGCTTAGGACAGGACATCTCGGCAACGTCAACAGGCATGGTGAATGTTTGGTGCGCTTTGTGGAGAACTTAAGCAGTCTAAGCAGAGAGAGTCAACCTAATAGAAGGTCTGTTGGGTTTCAAACACACAGCAGGAAGATTGAAGACAGACGAGGGTTACACGGTGATGAAGGCGAAGGGGTGAGAGACCCAACTTCAAATACCTGACAAGGCCCAACAAACCAACCCCTGCCAGATCAACCACCGAAGCGAACCGTGAACAGTTCGAAGTCTTTGCTGATCTCGCTGTGCTGGCGTAGGTACGGCAGCAACTTACTCAACCGAACCAGAAGCCAAGGGAAGTGCTGGATACGTGTGAGGATAGAAACTTTCACCCACTTTACTACACTTCGGTACCTAACTGTAGCCAGGTCGTAATCTCATGTATAAAATTATGATACATATAAACATCATTATGCTAAGAGTGCTCGAAGACATACCATCAGATATTTGATGGGAAATCGGGCAGTTCCGTTAAAAACAAGTAATTTCTTCGGTGCCACAGCAGGCTGGTTAGGATGAGGTGTGGGACTGCTCACCCAATCTTTCCACGCCGCTTCACTTCTCCACCGAGCCTCACTCGTGCTGATGCGTAAATCTAGTGGTGGGAAGGCTTGGGGATTGTCGAGGCTTGGCGATGGTAAATCACATCGTTTGTCTGGTATGGGTCACGTTGTCATTTCCTCAACGGGCATTGATGTTGCGGGTCCCCTGCCCTCCCCGCTCTGCGATATTTGATTTTGCTGCCCAACGAACCACCAACGTTGAAAAGTGTCTTGCGCTGTCTGGGTCATATGGAAAACTTGTCGCATTGCCGCATTGTATCCAACACTGAAGGATAATTTCTTACAAAGCTCACTTGCCACCATTCCTATCAACAAGGGGAATTGAAGCAGCTCGCATACACTAAATCAACCCAAACAAGAGAAATGATCCATCAGAAACTGCACATTGAAAATATCTCAAGCCTTTTAGGCCACAATCATCGTAGATAATTTCCCCTGACAACTCCATCAGCTCTCCACTCCACTAGTTCACTTTCCATGGAATATTTGTGTTAGAATCCCAACCACTAGACCATTGGGATAAAATGAATTGTTAAGTAGCGGGTTAGTGCGCCCATAACCTCCTAGGCCAACATGTCTGTAACCCTTCCCTAGGATCAATCGGGGATCACCAGTGGACCTCTTACACCT